GGGTTCCTAATCAGGACTGAATCTAAATCCTGTGCACAACCACCTGCTTGGAGTATGGGGCTCCCTAACTGTGAAATGACAATAAGGGCCTCCTAGCCTCACCATCACAGATAGATACACTTGTAGTTCATGAAATAAGAATGTTGTTAATCCTGCGGTGTTATGCCCTCTAGAGTATCACACGGTGTACGAGCTGGAGTCACAAAGCAGCACTATTAGAAAGCCTGACCCAGAGATTAAGGACCTCAAGCCAGAAACTATGCAAAACCAGTGCACCTGTGCCTGGCAAGTGGACTCTAACCAACCTAGATGTTAGGGTCATTTCTCTCTGGCCTCCCCCAGTTGTCCTATTCTGCGGAGAGAACTATCTGATCAGTGTCCCTTTTCCACTACTTCTCATCTCCCACCCAGCCTCCAATTGCTTCCCAGCCACTTCTCTTTAATTATTCAGCTTGAGGCAATTCCACATCAAGTGACTGGTATTTTACACAATCAGTGGATTCAGACCATCTCTGTCTCTTCTTCCTCATCTATAAAAATGGGGGTAATATTACCTTAGGGAGTTGTTAGTAGGATGAATAGCTGGAAAGCAGTTAACACTGTGCCTGATGAGTAGCAGCAAACACAGTAAATGGTGAAGGATTCCCTCTCTACTATGCCGTGCTCTTTCCCTAAGTCCTATTCTCTGCATATTTTAAACCAACCCTCGCGCCTGCCTGGCAAGCGCAAGGTCGTGAGTTCGGTTCCCGGTACCGGAGAAAAACCAAAACAAAAAAAAAACAAAAAACAACCCTCTCTGCATCCTAGGGGGAAAAATAAATTCCACCTATCAGTTCAGTTAGAGTTTTCTGCTGTGAGGTAGGAAATACAGAAATACAGAGGGAGCAGGGCTCACTGATACCTCCTTGGCCTACAACGCAGACGCTCACTACCAGGCCAAGCGGTGGCTGTAAAAGCATTTTTTCTGAGACAAGATTTGTAGCTCCCAACCATCCAGTGGCAAACGGAATAAATTCTGTTATTCAGAACAGGAAGACTGGAACAGCATTAGTGGTAACAGAAATTTACACAGGTGGGGACTGCCCTCAAGTTCTAAACATCTGTTCCAGGGCGTTTTTGATTCCAAGTATAAATAAGGGAGGGCTTATCAAGTCCTATTAAGGATGGTCTATTAGGGATGATAGAATCTTATAGAAATGCAGGAATAAGACCTTGGTAGGGCTGGGTTTCCCAAATTGAAAATGAAAACTCTAGATCCACAGCAGCTTTAAGGATCTCAGCTGTTGGAGTCTGTGGATCTTCACTCATCTCACAATCTCAGCTACACTCTACATGGCCTGCTCTGTTCTTCTCTTATCTGGAGGTATGATGACACATTCACAAATAGCTAAACATCAAAAATTGACAAAAGAAGTATTTGCAAGGATGTGAAGCAAGTGGAACTCATACACTCTGGGAGGAAAATAAGTCTATATAAATACTTAGAAAACTGGCATTATCTAGCAAAGTAATTCCACTCCAATCCATATAACATAAAGAAGCTGTTCACATACACAACAGAATATATCTAAGAATGTTCCTGGCAGTCAGATGCTACAGGCAGTGCAAGTATCTATCCACTATAAAATAAACATACTGTGATTCTTCATACCAACAAACATTGCTAGCAACGAAAAGTGTGAGACTGCCACATGAATGGATGTTAACAAATTTAGCAAAAAGAGCAAAATATAAAATGCAAAATATGTATGAATTTAAACTAGTAAAACTGAAGTATATTGTTTAGGGATGTAAATACACAGGATAAAACTATGAAGAAAGGTCAAGACATGATTATTACAAAAATCAAGATAGTGGTTTCATATGGGGGAGGAGGTTATGATTTAGAAGATACCATACTGAAGACAACTCACAATCAGTTTTTTGTTTGTTTTGTCATTGTTTTCAAGACAGGGTCTTGCCGTGTTGCTCCAGGATGGTCTTGAGCTTCTAGGCCTAAGTAATCCTCCTGCCTTGGCCTCCTGAGTAGCTGGCCAGGCGTAGGAGCACACTACAGATTTACAGTGCACTGGAGAGAATGGTTCCACATGTCTGAATAAACTTAAAAAAAGCTTTTCACCTGGGAATCCAAGCATGGGATCGCACTGGCAGGGCTCTGGCCTAAAAGGGGCATTAAGCAGAAGTGACCACACATCCTGGACTGTGTAGGACAGTTCTTCTACAGTGACACCACATAGCTGTGTCAGAAACAACAATGTGTCTTTCCTCTAGACAGTAATGGTAAGCCTGACCCTTTTGGACTGTTTAATCTCTGTTGGAATTCTCACTAATGAGGGCATTAGAGGACTTGGGAAAAAAAAAGAAATGTGGACTGCATTAGAACCCATTTTGTGAAATAACACACACGTGAAACATCTAAACTGAAAAAGACAAAATTTTAGTATAATGTCTCTTTTTATCTTACCTTTATATATGTATACAACATCCATTATATCAGATGAGAAGGAAACTAGTAAATCACTAAGCTAACATAATATAATGAGGGAAATTAGCAGGCATTCCAAACAAAGCCCAAGACAGGTGACTCAAGAGATTCATTTGTTAAAGCAAACTGAAAAAAAATGCTTGTCGTACTATTATTCCTCTGTGACTAAGGCCTGTAAAAAGACCTTGTTTTTTTTCACATATGCTGTCTTCTTGATTTACCAGGACCCTACTCCACCTACCTGAGAACTCCTGCTGAGCCCCCATGTACACCCTTATCAGAGGCCCATTCATCTGGCTCTCACATCTGCCCCAAAGATTCTCAGGCCAGGATCTACCTGCATGTTTTTATCCATTCTACTTATTCCCACTCCTTAAAAAACATGCCACCAGGGCCCAGGAGGTGGCTCAGAGGCACAGCGCCTGTCTGGCAAAGCATAAGATCCTGAGTTTGATTGCTGGTATCAAACAACAACAACAGAACATGCCACCAAGGCATGTTTTTTGAAGTAAAGATGGAAGGAGACATGGAAAAAAAGGAAAGAAGAGTACTACAATTGGAAAACAACAACAAAACCCAGAAAAAGGCCACTGCCAGAAAACAGAAACCCTTAGTGAACTGGTGATGGCTTGACCATACATTGCTTAATAGCTATTTGTTCTATTATAGAAATACAATTCCCCGGATAACCATGGAAACCAAAATGAAGGCACTATGGTGAAGACTGTTCTTTTCAAAAATCTAAAAACAGTAAGAGGCCTGAAACGGGAAACACAAAGAAATCTGAACATTGGGGGCCAGAAGAAAATCCTTTCTGCAAAGCTCTAACAAAACAGCATATTCTCCAGTCTTTCAAATCTCACCAGACTTTTGCAAAGGTTCTGGAACTGTAAGGCTCATGAAACAATTCCCACTCTCTTCTGTTTCTGTCCCTTGGGGCCAGCTGCTGGAGACAAGCTCAGAGGGAGCTGGAATTTACTGTTTTTATAAAACATACTGAGAACCACCAGAGCGACACACATGGACACACATGGACACACACACACTACATTTTACATAACCTCAAACTAACATAATTAGCTATAGGAAAAACTCCATAGGGGCAGAGACCATGTGTGTCATGTCAGAGCTGCATCTCTGGCTCTTAGTACTTGTACAAACACACAGTAGGCATTTGATAAATACTCGTTGAGTACACACAGACATAAGGTGGAACTTACACATCCTCTCCCCCAGCCAGTTTCAACACTCTGCTGGGTCCTGAGCAACTCAAAGCCCTATTCTCATTCTGGGTCCAGTTTCTCTATTTGCAGAAGGAGACAGCGGAAGTACACGGTTTCCTACGCAGCTCTGACAGTCAGTCACTGTACTGCGCTTTTTTTTGGTGGCAGCACATGGCTGGCACTTTTCCTTCTCCTGAGAGGGAATCTGATACCCATCTGCTCAAGAAAATTAATGTTCCCATACTGCCGGACTCATTTGGTAGGAACAACAGGTTCACATGCCAATTGTAAAACAGAGCAAGAGGGGCCCTGAAGGGGGAAGGAGAAGGTTCTACAAATCAAAACGGTACTGTCTGGGTGAGCATATATACAGTAACTGAAGCATGATTATTACATAAAAACTCCTTGGTGAGTTATTATTATACAAAAACTCTCTAGCTTACTATTTTAATAATTCTTACGTTACTCGCCCTATCTATGGAGCCTTCTGTGCCAAACTGCGCTACACCCTTTACACTTAATCCTCACAACAAACTACGAGCGAACTACACTATTACCCACTTTTAATAGAAAAGGAATCTATCTGGCTCAAGGTCACTCTTCTTTCACTAGTAAGTGGAAGAACTAGAACTTTTTTTAAAGTTTTTTTTTTTTTTAGTACCAGAACTTGAACTCAGGACCTTGTGCTTGCCAGGCAGGGGCTGGGTCGCTGAACTATGTCCCCGCGCCAAAAACTAGAACTTGAACCCAGAGCCAACTCCGGAGTTTTGGCTCTTCAAATGATTTTCCCATCTATCTGTTCTTCACTGTAGCGTATCCCTCTTTCTTCAAAGATGGAGAAGCCATCTACGAGAGGTCCGAGACTTGCACAAAACACAGAAGACACAGGTAAGCGCCCGGTCTTCAGTACCGAGAACCGGACTCTTCCTCTTGGACTTCTCTTACACACTCGCAAAGCCCCGGGGCTGGAGGCAACCGCCGAGATGCCAAGCTCCGGGCTCGGTGGTTTTACGGGGCGGGGAAACCAAGTCACCGGTCTTCTCCGAGCCGCGGAGCCTCCAGGTGGCAGGGAAGCGGGGGCCGCGACGGCCTGAGGCGCGCTTCCCCGGGAGCCAGGCCCGACTCCCACCGCCGAGCACGCGCTGAGCCTCTGCCCTGACCGGGGTGCCTCCTCGGCCGGTCGCCTGAGGCAGAGCCTCCGTCCCCCAAAGGCAGCCCTGAGGCGTCCGAGCCTCCCTCGGCCGCTCCCGCTCCGGGAGGCGAGTCCCGCGGGCAGCGTTGCAGTCTCTTACCTCGCAGAGAGCCGTCTCTCCCGCGGCCCTCGACGCTCTGGAAGCCGCAGCGCAGCCGGAGAACCGCGACGCGCGGCCGGGCAGGCGAACCCGCACCCGCGAGCCCCGCCCGGCGAGCGCAGCTGCCTGAGGCATCGGCGGCGCCGCGGTCACGTGACGCGCGGGGCGGGGAAGCCTGGAGCAGCAGCAGCAGCTGCGGCGCCGGCGCGGGGGCGGGGCCGGAGCAGCGCCGCCCAGAGGAATCTCTGCAGGCTACGGCCAGCGTGGGAGACGCGATGCGGCCGGGCCAGGCTCCGGGTGCTGCAAAGCGAGCTTAAGGAGGGACTGTAGAGCTTTGTATTGCGCGGCCCCACAAGGGGCCGAAATAGAACAGTAGACGGAAACTGCAGGGAGGCCTGCGAAGGGGTCAGTAGAAAGATGTCTTCCAAGCACGTTATCTAACAGTGTAATAGGGAATTTGGAAGGTGGTGGGCTCCTTGTGGATGGGCACGTAAAGGCTGTATTCATTGTTTGAACTGACCACTGGGAGTATATGTTAAATTATGTACAAAGCACTTGGAATAATTCATGCCGCACTATAAATGCTGTTTTATAGTGTTACCTGCTGCTGATCCTATTATCGGCATAGAAGTGAACAATACTGTTATCCTTGCTGTTCTCCTGAAATTAATTCTCTGGTGGAAAGGCAGACACCAATCAAATGTCATTTACACCATGTGCTTTTACAATTATTTTAAGTGCCTGAAACGAACTTAAAATTAGAGGTAAAGGGAGAGAAGTCAGGGAAGACCTCTTAAGAGAATGGTAAAGAATTAGACAAATACAGCAGGAGGAAGGGGAAGCCTGTGTGGAAGCTTTAGGGCCAAGTGGGGCAGGGTAGAGGAGAAAAGATTGCTCTCTGGGAAATGTAAATGCCATTTGAAGCTTTTTGAGTTAAGGGACAAGCAGTCTGAGCGACTGCTACCAGGTAGATCATGCAGTACTTAGCAGGCCATGATAAAGATTTCAAAATTTTATACAAAAGGAAGCTATTGATGTGTGGAGAATATGGGTGATTTGACAGTTTATTTAGATGCGGGTCTGGGTATGTTATCCAGGCTGGTCTTGAACTTGGCAACCTTTCTGCCTCAGCCTCCAGAGTAGCTCAGATTATAGTAATTTACCTGGCTCTTGGTGCCTTTTAAAAGAGTTATGTCATCTACTATGTGAAGAAAAGACACTGTGAGAGTGGAAGCAAAGAGATTAATAAGATTTGGACTGGAATAATCATAGCGAACATGGAAAAAAATGCACTTGAGATACATTTTTAAAGTAAAGTCTAATATGGCTTGCTGTGCAAAACGTGGGAGATTCCTAGTCTTCTAGCTTAACCTACTAACTGGGCTCATGGAAGTGCTATTCGTCAAAACAGGAACTATTGTAAGACAAACGTATTTGGAGGGGTGCAGGTGAGATCATCAAGAACTCAGTTTTGGACTTACTAAATTTGAGAGGCCTGTCTGTCAGATGGAGTGATTGAAAAAGCAGTTGGACTTGGGCTGCGGATGGTGGCATATGCCTATAATCCCACCACTTGGGAGGCTGAGGCAGGAGGATCGCCACAGGTTTGAGACCAATCTGGGCTATATAGTGAGCTCAAAGCTAGCCTGAACTACAGAGGGAGGAAAAAAAAAAGTACAGTTGAATTCAACCTCTGGATTTTAGAAGAGAATATCAGCTACAAAAATTTTACAAAGAATGCTGAGAAAATAAATTATTACACCACATTGAGGTTTTGAAATAACTGATCCCTCTGGTCCCACTGACCTCTGTCAGTTCTTAATTCTATATAATGTCTCCTATTGAAATGTAATTCATCTCTACTATATGAATTTGGCATGACGCTGGGTGAGGCTTATGTTACCAAGTAGCTGTTCCCCTCTGCCCTCCAGTGCTGGGGACTGAACCTAGGACCTTAAATATGCTAATATACAAGCATGTATCATTGAGCTATACACTACCAGCCTCTCGTTGTATTTAATAACTGGAAAAACAAAATACCTAAACCTAAAGACAACAGTTTAAGACAAAGCTGTACACAAAGTAGCCAGACCTAGTATAGGAACCATATTTAGGTCAGGTCAGATCAGGACAGGGGTAAACTCAAACATTAACTTGTTGATTTATCTTTATTATTAATGACGGCCAAAACTATTACATGTTTAATCCCTTAAAAAGTGTCCCATTGTATGAAACCTGCAGTCTTTTTTTTGGGGGGGTGCGGGGGTACTGGGAATTGAACTCAGGACCTCATGCTTGCCAGGAAAACCAGCAGTATTGATATGACTGTCAATAAGACATTAAAATCTTGAGTTTTTGGACCTGTGCTGGCCAACTTACTGCTTGTTTTGGCATCACTATAGAACAGCTAACTTTAAAAGGAGCTCAATAGCAGTTTTCTACCAAAGCATTTTGTCTTTTCGATTAGTAGTGCAAGTATCACGAAATACATGGGAGATTTGATGTTTTATGTAAGTATTTAAATATAAGCACATTATTTGCAAACTACAGTTGATTCCTCTCTTCCTTCTGCTTTCACTTGTCCTGTGCATGCTTCATCCTCCAAAAGTCTGGTGACTTTTCTCCTCCATTAGACTAGAGTAGACTTGCTACTTGTTTCTGCTCTGGCACATAGTTCGTATTTATTGCCAAATAAGTAAGTGAACAAACACAATCTGCTCAGCCATGTGAACTTTGCTGTAAAGAAAAAACTGGTCTCACCCAGGAAGAGTGACTTGTCCAGGATTAACACAAGGAATATGTCATCCTTTTCGGCTGCTTGGGATCTGAACTTTCCTCCTACACTTGGAAGCTCCTGAATTATGAGCAGGTTTGAAGTGGATCAAGACTTTCACTATAGAAAGAAATTCCAGGTAGTTGCTCTGCCTTTCCATGATCTCAATGCTACAAATTAAATGTGCCCCTGACTGAACTGAGAACCAGAGATACAAGGTGGTCTCCAGAATTTGTCTTTGGGGACAGCAAGTTGAGTTCATATAGCAACACTAGCTGCAGCGTTAGTGGCAGGGTTCAGGGTTCTGTGCCTTTGGCCTTGGTAAACTAAGTGGAAATCTCTTAATGCTCAGCAGAGAGGGTATCCTCATTGCAGCAGGTCTGTGGAGTGATCAAGTGACAAAAGGTGATGTTCCAATGCCCGTTCCCCAACCCTGATTATCTAGGCTTCCTGGTGATGCTGAACTGCTTATTATCCTTCTAATAAAATACTTTTTTCCTTACAGTTGCCATTTTTCGTGTTTGCAACTAAAAAATCTGACTCATGTAGTTACGTAATAAAAGCCAAAGCTGTGACCCAGTCTCCTAATTCTAGTGTTTTTTCCCATTTAGACAGACCTTCACTTTAAAACAACCCACAATTTTTGTATTACATATTGATGTCCCTAAACCACTTTGTTCATGAAACTTCTATTTTAATATGTAACCTAATTAGTGGTTGCATGCTTGAGGCAGCTGCCAGTGGAAGACTGAGTTTCAAATGCAGCAGTGGAAAATGAAATACTATTACTAATGTGACCAAGAAAAAGATGAAAACGATTAGACATACTAAAAGTTGATCTTTAGTCTTAGAATAATTGTTGGATTAAAAGCAGCTGTATTTTTGTTTTGGGGTGCAGAGTCCACAAACTTAGGACCTTGAGCATGCTAGACAAGTGCTTTACCACTGAGTTATACCACTGAATTATTTCTAAAGGAAATATTGAAAACAAATTTTATAACTAAAAACATTTCATTAGATACTGTGTTCAAGAGACTAAGTGTAAAGCTGGCTGAGTGGCACATGTCTGTAATCCCCGTGTTCTGGGAGACTGAGTTAGAAAGATCACAAGTTCAAGCCCTGCTCAGGCCACTTAGCAAGACACTGTATCAAAAAAAAAAAAAGGGCTGAGGATGTAATTCAACCCTCTCTTCCCCAAAAAAGTGCAAAGGTGATTCTGTAATGTCTTTATGTTTCAGTAACAAGTCTATGCAACTTTTATAGATATGATTTGTTTTTGTGATCTTGTACTAAAATAAGCAATCAGTGCTATATGCACGTATCTACAATAATGAGCACATGCAAGCAACATGTAAATAACAACTGTTTGCAGTCTGCTGAGTGATGTCCACAATACAGAACAGGACAAAGGCTGTGTTTTATTTTAAATTTATTATTTTAGCCTTTCAAAAAAGGAGGGCCGTTACTTGGGACATTCATGCAGAATGGCATAGAAACTGCAGTGTATACACTAGCCAGCAGATGTCAGAGTAGGATCTTTCTGGACAGTGAAAATACACTAAGTTTCTGAAAGGACTGAAGGTTCCTTGCCCTTCTGTTCTCAGCACACTTTAGCCATACTGGCCTTCTTTCTCCCTCATACACTTTTGCTTTCCCATGTTTCCAAAGGTTTTCCACTCTATCTGGCCAACTGCTATTTGTCCAAATCTTACTTGCTTTGTCTCTTCCTAAGGGAGCCTTCTCTGCTTCCTTCGGAACCACAAGGTCTAGGCTCATATATATGTATACTGCCTTGTGGTACTAGGGACTGAACTCAGGGCCTTCACACTTAGCTACATCTCCAGCTTTTTTAGGACTAGGTCTCAGTACCCAAATTGCCCAGATGGGCTTGAATTTGCGATTCTCCTGCCTCAGCCTCCCAGAGGACTGGGACTGTTAAAGGCATGTGCCACCACTCCGGCCTAGGCTACCCTATTCTATGTTCTTATAGCTATCTTTACTTGACCCTGTAGCAGTATATATATTACATGTAATATAACGATATAAAGTCTGACTGATTCCCCTGCAAATGACAAGTCTTAAGAACAGAACTGTCTTCTTCCTACCACATTGCCTGCCCCACCAGAGTCACTGAATAAATACTTAGAAATATGAAGACTTCCATTAAATAGAACAGACTGTTTTTAAGGCCTGGACAACAAGTTGTATCAGAAAGTTAATATTTTCTTCTTTCAATTCAGCTATCATTTATTTAACATCTTTTGGTAAAGATATCACACAGGACAGAAAAATGCCAGACAGGACTTGTATTTAAGCATCTTCAGGAATAGGGAAAAGACAATGTCAAACTTTTGTCCTTTAATGGCAATCCCTGCTACAGGGCATCCA